CCCTACAGCTAGCTCTTCTAAGCATCATGTAGGAGTTATTCTGAAAGCAAGTCTGCATCTTCCAGCAGATTAGGTTTTTTTTTTTTTTTTTTAAATGTAATGTTATAAGTAAAAACGACTCCTCCAGAACTTGGAAGTTATATCTAAGGGAGGAGGAAGCAGAAATTTATACTTCCAAGAATTCTAATCACAGGAAAACGATCACTCGCTGTACCTCTAGCAGAGTTTTTCGTTTCTAAATTACCATTAGGTAAGTGAAATTTTGCCACTTCCCATTCTGAAAACAAAGGGGAATATTCCAATTACCCTGATACCCGGAGCAAAGCTCCACACACCTGCAGAGAATTGAAATAGCTAAAAATCACATCTGTGCTGTTCCTTGTGGAGTAAAAAGGCAAAAGATATCCAAACCCAAACTATTTTTGCCTTGAATATACTTGGCTGCTGTCACATTTCCGCATTCTCATAACAGAAATTCCTCATTTGCTCCAAAGTTTACAATATATACCTAAGTCCACGTAACTCGGTTTACAGCATCTCTCTTTTCTCTGTGTATACATTTTACCAGCATACCTTGTGCATATATATGCGTGTCCATGCACTCATACAGTGCATGCAAACTTCTGCATACATCCAGCTAGATAAAGAGGCATATCGAACACAGTGCGTTGTGTTCTTTTGTCTATCTGTCCGTGTAAGTAGCCGCACTAATAACATGGGGCTGCGCCTGTATGTACATCGGGATGCCCGTCCTTCGGATCAGCCCGAGACAGCATTCGATCCTCTCCCTCCGTCTGAACAGAGCACCTTCAGCGCGGAGGGAGGGGGAGAGGGCATTCGCCTAGTGAGTGTCTCGTTTGGGCGTGAGGGCATCCCACAAAACAGCAGGGGGATGCCTCTGCCGGCCGCCCCCTCGGGGGCATCAGCATGGCGATGTCGGGGAGGAATCCCGGCTGCCGGGTTTGCTGCTCCCCCTCTCCCGCGTGCGCCCGCCGGGGCGGGGGCAGGGTTCACTTCCCAGTTCCCCCCGTTGCCGGCGAGGCGGGTACCTGTTGGGCAGGCAGCAGGGACGGGGTGCTTTCCGATGCGGGGCGGTCCCCGGCAGCGCTCCGGTGCCGCGCTGCGGGGCTGGCCGTGGCCAGGCTCTCCCGAGGGGAAGGCAAGGTGTGCTTCTTCCCCCCGCCCCAGCCCGCCCCCCGCCCGGCCCGTCTCGGCCCGGCCCGCCCCGCGGCCCGGCGGGCCCGGGCTCCGGAGTGCTGTGCACCGCCCGGGGGGCACGGCCAGCGCCAGCCGGGGGAGCGGCAGAGGCCGTGCCGCTGCTCCCGGCAACTGGCTGCCTGGAAGGGGAACGCACCGCAGCTCCGTGCCTGCTGAACACCTGTCAGCCCGCGGAGCCTGATTTATACCTGGCCCTGGCAGCCTCTCCGCTGAGGATTTCCCCTTCGTCCCACTTTTTCTTTTTTTGCCCCCCTCTTTTTTTTTTTCTTTCTTTTTTTTTTTTTTTTTCTTCCTTCGCCTCCTCTTCCTGGATCGTTGTAGAAGGGGGCATTTCCTTCAGGGTATAAAGCTGAGAATACAGAGGGGAGGCTCAGAGTTTCACCTCATTGCCTCATTCTCGCTTCCATGTGAACATCCTGCAACATTTCCTTCATCCTGCCTCACCTCTCACCTGGCCAGCACTGTCCGGACCATGTCCACTAAGCTCCTGCCAGTTTTCTTCCTCCTTTCAGTGTTCCACGCCTGGTAAGTCTGCGCTCCCCTCGCCTCTCCCCAGCCACTCTCCTCTCCCCTCGCAGCGGGGCTGGCGGGCTGCAGCCCCGCTCGCCGGAGTTTGCACAGTACTCGGCGCCCGGGAAGGACAGTGGGCTCTCCCAGCCTCCCCCGAGCCATGCCGGTGCTCTGTTCCCAAACGCGGCTTACCCCGCTCCCTTGCCGGGACCCGCCTGGCTCCGCAGTGCTCCCGGCGCGGTGGCACCGCCGCTGTCCCTTCCCGGCCCCGCGTGAAGCCGGAGGTCGCCCGCGAGGGCTCTGTCCCGAGCCCGCCCGGCGGAAAGTTTCCCGCTCCGGCTGCTGCCGGTCCCCGAGCGGTGGGCACGGCGGGACGGCGGCTGGCGCTGCCCGGGCTCCCCTTACGGCCCTGGCTTCCCTCCGCGTCACCCCCGGGGGCTCCGCGGGAGGGGCCGGCGTGGAGTGGGAGCAGATAAGCCGCGGGAAGCGTGAGACCCCGGCCCATGCCTCAGGGCCGGGAAGGCTCTCCCCGGCGGGGTCCCAGCATAACCTGTTGGGGGTCAGAGGGGGACAGCCAGCAGCTGCAGCTCTGAGCTTTTGGGCTAGGCTCACCTTCGGTCCTTTGGGTTGTCCGGGGCTATCCTATACCCTCACCGCATAACCCAGGCAGAGGGGTCACCTCAGCCACAAACCAGGCTGCAGGCATGCTCAAAGGCTTTTCCCTCTCCTTCCCAGTAGCCTGCCCCACACCCGAGTGGCATCTCTCTCCTAAACCCCCACAGGAACTGGAGGATGCTTCTTTGCCAGCCCCCAGAGCAAGTGCCAGACACACGTGTTGCAGGAAATAAACCCTTTCATCACAACCTCTCAGGGTTTTGTAGACTTCCTCCTATGCAGGTTATGCACAGGCTCTTCTCTGTCTCCTCACAGAATCAAAATTACTGGTCCCTGAGGAGTTTGGGGAAAGTGTGTAGCCTTTCTTCCTTCCCAGTTTGAGATGGGCCTGACATCATCCCATCGTTGTTTCTGTGGATTGCAGGAATATGATAGGAATTGGCAGTCACCAGTAAAGTTACAGATGAAAGTGAAACCTCAAGTGCCTTCAAGGAGCTTAACTATATAGAGGCAAGTAAGGGAAGTGAAATAATGAAGTTTAAGAAGAAAAACAAAAAAACCTTGAAAAATATGTGCCTAGTGTATTAGTCTGATGAACTGTGACACATCTCCTCCTTCCAGTCTTAATTAGAAGATAGATAGGGATTTAAATTATTTGGAGGTACTTTCTAGGAAAGAAGGTGCTAGAGTAATAGGATCTAAAACGTCTGCCAGTGCTTACTTAGACTCTTGTTCATGACTGGTTTTAAAGCAGCATTTCCCTGAAATGAGAGTCATGATCCCACCTAAACTCTCATTTCCTTGTGCAGTCTGAATATCTCTGGTAAAGTTTGGGTGGGATGCAAAAGAAAAGCCGTATGATTTGTGCTTCTTAGCTAGCAACAATTCAGCACCACTGCAGCATTTCAGCTCCGAAATATCTACGATGTATATTTGGAGATGATGCCTCCTTTGAGAATGGCTCTGTAAGAGCAGTATTAAAACATAGGGCTTGTCATGAATCTGATGGAGAAAAAACTCCCCCCCCAAATCCTCTTGAGGTTTTTTAAATTCCATTGGGTGAATTATTTAAAAATAAAATAAATTGTTTTTTAAAAAATGCAACTCAATAACAGAGAAGTAATAGTTTGTCTATTCAAAATTTCCTCTAAGTTTTCTTTACTTTTGCAACTTAGTTGTACGAGCTCTTTATAGAAAATCCTCAGGGTCTACATTTCAAAATTATTTTTATATAGAAATAGTGCCTAGAGCACTTGCAATCTGTGAGGTCATGTTAAGTGATTCATGGCTAATCCTTGGGGATGTATTTGCTGTAGAACGGTTTCAATTAGAAGTTTCATTAAAATCTCAAATAGCGGTCTTTGAGCAATGTGAGGGTTGCTGATGCTCTGTGATTAAATTTTTATACTTGTATAAGGGTTTTTTGTGTTTAATATAGAGTGTCTATCAAGTCTTCTGGACATCTGCGGTATTTTAAAAGACACTGGTGTCATTCTCTAGAGAAAGAGAGAGAGAGAATGAAGGCTGCTCTGATGTGTGTAGCACATCCCATGAATAAGCAAGGCTGGTGCCTCTCATTCTCCATTGCTTTGCACCTCTCATAATTATTGACATTTATGCAAAAATGTTGCAAAATGATATCATATCCCCCAGGCAATTTCAGGTTGAAGCAATACATGATTACTGCAGTAGGTTCTACCACTGAAGTTACCTTTTCTCCTAATAACTTCATCTCAGTTTAACTGTCATAGATTTTCTCTAGTGAGAGGCATCAAACAGATTTGGTTTCTAAGATACCAAAAGACACGTCTTCAAATCATCATTTTACAGTTTGTGCAAAAATGAAATTAGTCTTTTGTGAAAATAACTTTAGCTGTGATTTCTGGGCAAACTGTAGTTTCACCACGTTTGTATTAATATGCTCTTAAAAGAAAAATAACCCACCTATAAAGGAAAGAAGTCACAATTCTCAGGGTAGTACTGTTTTTAAAAAAATGTCATTAAAGTTGTAGGCAAATTCAGATTAATTTATGCAACGTATTTGTGTGCTTGTGATAATCCATCTTAAATTCAAGGAGTGAGCTCTCAATTCTAAGCCTTGTAATACATTAAACTATGGAATTCAGGCACTGAGAATATAATAATTTATTAATAGGATAAAATGATCAGGAAGCATTAACAGTTCTAAATTTTTAATACTCTTATTAGCCTTTGTGCGAGAGAGGAATCAGTTGTCTTGATGTATTAATAAAATGATACTGCAGATGTTCGCTCTTTGTAAAAGTATATTGTAAACTAATCAGAATAGGTTCATTAAAATACAAGATATAAAATACTACTCTGATAGCTGTATTAACTTCTAGAGTATAACTTTTTGAAGAAACTGTCAGAAGACAATTTCTAAATCTTTCTCAGTCATGACCCATTCACAGATGCTCCACAACTGTTAATGGGAGCACCCCACTGCAAAACCAGTCTAAGGCTGAGTAGATGCAAAGCCCGAGGAGACATGTAAAACTTCTTGGGATGAGTGTGGAGCTTTACCCAGAATGTAAATTTATGTTTTAGTTATGTAGAATAACATCTCTTTGTTTTATTTGTTATTGCAGTTCTAGGAAGGTTGAAGAGGATGAATATGAAGATGGAACAACTAACCAAAAATGGGTTTTAGCTCCAAAAACACAAGACACAGATGTGACTCTCATACTAAACAAGCTCTTGAGAGAGTACGACAAAAAGCTACGGCCAGATATTGGAAGTAAGTACTTTCTGCACAGGTGAGGATAACCTTCTCTGGGTGCAGAGAAGACATGGTGTATTTCGGATGTTTGCACAAACATCTGGGAAAGTGGAGATTAAGGTTCTTTTTGGCTGAAGTTCATTTCCAAGTCACTATTTTAAAAATGCTAATTCTCATGAGAAGATGTGGTGATAACTTAGGATCCTAAAATCTGGTTTGCTTGTACAGAGTTTATGTAGAGATTTGGAAAGGTTAGCTCTAAAGTATTCTTTGGCAGAGGAAGGAACATACTTACCTCTTTTGTTGTCCAGTCCATGCATCTGAAAAACTCACACTCTGAGAAGCAAACAAAACCTCAGCATACTGAAAACCAAAAGTATGACACAGCAGGTGAAGAATGTGCATTTACTCTCTTCAAAATATGATCATGAAAGTTATGTTCCTTAATGCTGAGAAGAAGGCACCAGGATTTACCTGTGTATAAGGCACCTCCAGAGGTTTTCTTACCCAAAGCATCAGACACCCACAAAAGAACTTTTATAGAATGGAAGTCTCTTGTGCTCAGTACTACTACATTTAAGTATAAAATTTAGTTAAAAGCCAGTAGATATCTGCATATAACTATCTTGGGCTATTATTTTCTTTTAATTTGTATAACAGTATTCTGTATTTTAAACCAGACATGGTTTTTTGGGTTGGGTTTTTGTTTGTTTGTTTTGTTTGTTTGTGTTTGTTTGTTTGTTTTTAATGCTTCACCTTTTTTAGTTGTGCCCTGTTTGCCTGGTTTGCAAAATGGCTGTAGCACAACTGCTGCTCAACTTGTTCACAGCAAGTTTGTATGACAGAAATCAGAGAGCATTTGTCATTTATATTTTCTGCACCTTGCATGTACTTCAGAATGCACTGAGAATGGGCAGTACTCAAAACAATCACATAATATAATTTGCTTTTCCTAAATTTTTGCAAAAGTTAGAGGGAAAATTCCTGCCACTGATTATAAGTGAAAATGTTGTTAGCTGATAGCACATGTATTGATACACTTTCTAGAGGATCCCTTTGGATCGGTTTAAAGGGAAGTAAGAGCCATCTATAGGCATTCACCATTACTGTAGCTACACAGTAATACAACAGTTGCAGAAAAAAAAACTTGGTATGAAAGAAAGTGTCAGTTTGGTTCTTTTTCATAGCCATTAATTTGATTTTTCCATAGTATTTACAGAATTATGTTTGATACATGTGTCTGTTTTTATCAAAAAGTGACATTTATTTCTTTACTTAGTTTGTCATACTGGATTCAACTGATCTTTAATATCTGATGGAGAAATGCTTTAATGCACTTTCCCACCCATCTCAACATCTAGAAGACAGTCTCAGACAGAATTTTTTATTTATTTTGTACACCCTGTCCTCAGATCACTGACTTAAAGCAGAGTAAATTACATTATGCCTATGTGGGGCAAAGTAATCATTCAAAGTCCCCATGTCAGTTGCCATAAAATCAGTGGAGGTCAGACATATCTTACAGCACTGGAAAGTCATTGTTATCAAAATAATTCCTTTTGTCTCTCCACAAGACTTTGTAAATCCTGTTTTAGAGAAAGGAGTTAAATTATACATATCATATCAGACAGAGATTTTACAGTTCTCAGCTACATCTATTTCTATCAAGTGTCTTGGTCCTAGGCTATTTTTCTCTTTGATTGCAATCTGGCTATTTCAGAACTTGAGCTGACTGTTCTTCATATGCTCGAGAAGTTAGTTCACCTCTGCTTTCTTCCCTGGTTCCTCTTTTCACCTCTCCTACATGTGATGCAGATAAATAACATTGCCATTTTGAAGTTGGGAAGCTGTTGCATTTGGCAAGGAGAACACAAGGGGAATACTAGAGAATCAGGCATCACATCTGACTTCCCTGAATTGCTGGCTGGTGCCTCACACACAGGTGATCTTCCTTTCCCTCTGGGAGATGGTTATCCTCCAAACAGGATAGTTGACGTGTCCTGGCAACTGAACTGTGTTCCTGCCCTGAAGGTCCCAGTATTAATATAAATAAATTAGAGCATAATACGTATCAGTTAGAGACCAGGAAAAAAAGTAGTGAACCAGGTAACAATAGACATATGACAAGAAAATTCATGTTTTGAAATTTATAGGAAGGATGGAAAGAAATAGTGGAAGAAGAGAGAAGTAATTCTCAGAATCAAGCAGAAATACAGTCAATAAGAGACACTGAAGGTTAAATCTAGGACTAACATGCAGTCAGCTAATCCTTAGAGCCTTTACATTTACTTCCAGGTGCTGCCTGGAAGCAAATCAGCTATCCCACAGGACAGTGGCACTCACCATTTCATACCACACTGCACTTCCTCAGTTTTCAAATCCTTTATTTCAAAGCCACTATTTCTGACAGTGGACAGTTTTAGCAATGGTCCTGAAGAAATGACTGTTGTCCTGAATGCAGTCAGAAAAGCCTGGGAAATACTGACTTCTTTGTGCTTTCAAAGGTTAGAATTGTTGTTTTTAGATCACTTGGGAACACACTTTTGCAAACCAAAGGCCATGGAAAGAAGGAGAAGACTGTGGCAAATAGAACGTACTGCAGTGCATGCTGGCCTAGGCAGTGACTTTGCTGTGGTTTTTCATCCTTCCCAGGGCTGCTGATGTTTTGGCTAGCTCAGATATGTCCAGGTACTACCTGGTACTGTACAGGCACATTCTGAGTGCCCACTTGCCATCGACTTCTGCAGCAATCACCTCCAGCCCAGCAGTACAGCCATCATTGAATAAGCTCCTGTGCACACTTAGCTACTCTCTTTCCTCCTCCCTTACCCAAGAACATCTAAACCAGTGTAAAGAGTGTGTATGTCACTGCTAGGCCAGGACTTACTCTCTTCTTTTTTTCTCATGTTGGCCTATACTTGACCTCAGTTTTCATGTAAATGACTATTGCTCAGATCATGTGCACGATCTACACTCAGCAGTTCAGGCATCACCTGCAAGGTTCCAAGCCAGGATTTTTAGAGAGTGGATTGAACAACCTAAATATTAGGCAAAACAGTTAACCTGTGAAGGCTATTATCAATGTGCTACCTTAATAGGACCTGTCTAGCTAAAAGGAGCCTTTGATCTTCGGAAACAAAGCAGTGTTCTACCAGCAGGGGAATGCCTGACTTCATCCCCTGTGGCCACACACTTGGCAGAGTTCTTGTCTCCATAAATATCATGCTTTGTGAGGGTTTTCATTTTATTGGTGTCACCTGGCAGGTTTCCATTATACCACAAAAAATGCAAGTCTTTTGGAACCAAAAAAAAAAAAAAAAAAAAAGAAAGAAAGGAAATAAAAGAAAGCACCTCATACTGAACAGCTAATACCTGATTAGATCAAAAATAAAAGTGTTTTATCATGTAAAGCATCTTTTTCACTGTTTGTTTTTGTTTTGTTTTGTTTTTTTACCAACTACAATTATAGATCTGAGGATCTCAGGTCTGTTGCATGGTATAAAAGGCACCAATCCCAGATAACAACTAAACCCATTCAGAACTGTAAAGGTCTTAACATTTCTTCCACAGGCAGGTATTCTGTATTTTGTTCCAGAGTGCTTTGAAGTGAAGACCTGTCCAAAGGATATGCATAATTTTCTAAGCTTGCTATGCTGCAAACATATTTTTTCCTACATGCCACATTGATTTAAGTCCTAAGTCCCATTTAGTAGGACCAAGTTCTGCCTCTGAAATTTTACTTCCTTATTATTAATAAAATAAAAATATTAGAAATATTAGGCAAACCAACAGAGCACACAATAGAATGATGATAATTACAGCTAAAAAAACCTCAGTCTCATTTAGGTTCTATTGATAAATCAGATTTTTGTCATTGCTCTTTTTTGATTGATTTAAAATTAAAGTTCCAATGAAAAAAGAGTGCACAAGCAAACAAAACCGACCAAACAAAAGAAAACTCATTAATGAAGCAAAACACAGGTAAATTAAATGCCACATAACAAAACATATTTCCTTCAAAGTCAGTTTACTTTAATGAAACTGTCCTTTTCACCTTCCTTAATGGACAGCTTAGTCCACAATGGAGTTCTGGAAAATAAAACCTACTTTCAGAACCCTACATTGTTTCAACCTTAACTTCCTATGGAATATAAGTTACCTGAAATAGAAAATTTGTAACAGTGAAACAAAGTGAAAGGTTTGCCAGTCACGTTCCCTGAGTGAGCTTACATGTGGAATATGCTATTTTTTATTTCATTGTGAAAGTCACCTTACCCATCAAAAAGATTAGTATGTGAGAGGTTTCCAAAATGTGCCATTAGTCGTGTGAGGAAAAAAGTCTTACCCAAGATTAGGCTTAGAACTGCAGAGTAGTAAAGTAATTTGTATTGCATGTTTGCATCTTCTGTTTCTCAAATGTATCATTACATTAAGGAAGGCTCTGAACTGCACATGTTGAAGAAAACTTTGTCAGCTTGTGTTCTGAGGTGCTTTCACCACTAATGCCTGCTTTTCCTTACTTTTTTTTTCTCTATTTTCCTGCATTAACTCATGGTTTCCTCTTGGATCCACTAAAATAATTTGATCCCTATAGCCTCTGGTGGTACCCTGTATTTATTGTTTATTTATAAGCCCAAATAAATTCACTTTGAAATATGTAATATTCTGATTGCACCACTTCTAGCTGTCTTGATGATCAAGCTGGTTTTCCTTGCTCCCTGAATATCTTTATAACCATTAGCCATATTTCTGAAGATGAGAACAGTCTCAGAAACTGCTGTGCAGCTCTCAGTACCCTAAGTAGTTTTTCATAAGTGTATCTGGTAGAAATAGATGGGCTTATTTGTATCAGCAAACACTGAAGACTGATTTCTCTCTGATGTGCTTTACTGTGCTGGCTTGGTAGCATTTAACAGTGGCTCTCTTTTAAGGCAGGTTACAGTTTTCTCTGTAACTAATTTAACCGGTTTCTCAGTGTATGCAAGAAGCAAATCTGTTGGGTGAGTGTGCAAAACTTT